ATGGAGGTTTTTATTACTTACAAACCTTGAAAAACATACATTGTGAGTTGGCTACTTCTGGTTTTAGGATGTGTGATTCAACTTTTCCACTCTGGAGGTGGGTTTCAGATTTTTGAGTTTTTAAGCCCAAAAAATGCCATCACCGTCTAAATGAATGGCACTTCCAATAAAATATGTTGCCATTTTTATCCGAAAGCGTTGAAATGTCAAAATACAGTATTACTTGCCTTAAATATGTAGAGAATACTTGCAAAACGAAATATGTTTTGTATTCTTGTATTGTTTACCATAGCATACACGTGTCCACTAGTTAACTACACTACACTACACTTGTCTATACAATAAAACATGACTCCAGTGAATACATTGTGTTGTAAAGTCTACAAGCTCCAGTGACGTATTGACATAGTTTAGATTACACACACATACACTGTATATTTGTGTATCAGCATCTGACTGCAGTGGTGTCAGTGTCCGAGCATGTGCTGACTCATCCACACATGCGTCACTGATCAATACCACTTTGGGACGATTAGCTCTTGGCAGCAAAAACACTCAATCCTGTGACCCTGGCCATGCTAACTGCAACGACAGCTACAACTACAGGCTCAACACAGTCCAGTAAGCATGCCACTTTGTATCCCCAAACAAGAACTGCAACACAAAAGATTCATATTTCATTGTTTTAGCTCAGAAAGAGAGCAAAGCAGTATACCAGTGGGTAGATTTATGCTAATACATGCAATGATATGCAGCCCGAGGTCTTCTCTATGCATCGCTGCTTTCAAAAAGGTGGGAGGTTGAGAGTTTAGAGCAATGTTTGGATTCAAAATGAGGTTTTAAAATTCATGTGCCAGGCTCCCATATATGTTTTTGAATGAGGAAAGTAATAAAGGAATGACAGAAGGTTTAAATCAAATAACGGAAAGAAAACTATTATAAAATTGGAAGTCAGTTGGCTTTCAAATCTTCTGAACCGTGGCATTTTTGCATATTGTTTTATTGTTCACTATAATGTATATTCTCACTCTAAACAAAAATATGACTTATATAAGCGTATTGTGTGCGTGTCCATCAAATCACACTTTAAACTCACTGATTTTAATTTAATTATAATGTTCAAAATAAAAAATAAATAAAAATAAATAGTGCGGAAAACACAAAAGGAAGGAATATTCTTAAAGGTCCTATATCACGCAAAATGAAAAACATACAGGAAGTTGCGTTTCATTCATGAATGTAATCCTTTGTTATTAGTCTGTCTACATCTCCAAAGCTCAAAATGCTCTGTTCCAACTTGTGATGTCATTAAGTGGTAGTTTTCAAGTTAACAGCTGCATTTTACCTTTAGTTTTGCAATTCCAAAGTTGAAATTATCCAAATGATTCTAGTGAAGATATATGGAGTTTAAAAATGCAATGGAGCACTTCCTGTATTATCACAGGACATGACAAAATGGAGCAGAGTTTTCTGCTTGAAAGAAAAACAAAGCCTTAATTTGCAAAGTTTGAGTGTTAAACAAAACAACTCTGGGTATATTTTTGATGAGGAAACAACACTATAACACAAATAAGAAAATAGCGTAATACGGGGCCTTTTATTAATCTCATTAGATAATTTCATTTCAGGGAGAGTTGCTTTTTATGCCCCGATGCCCTGCCTGATGCAACGTTAATCACCTATGTTTACAGTTAAAGAACATGGCGGTCCCATGTACCTTCCCTGTGGTAGGAAATGTAGGTGAAATGTCTTGCCAAGGGACACTACAACAGATTAAACTTGGACTCGCTACCCTCTGATTGAAGGGCAAACACACAATCCACTATAGCACAGCCCAGAGAAAAAGCACAAAGGACAACTAGTACAAATCTAACAACATACTTTTACATTCAGAAAACTCAATCTCAAACACTAGCTTCTCTGTGTCTTTGTGCAAATGAGAGGGCATCTTCAGTGCGGTACCAACAACCAGCTGGAACTGACCTGATGAGATTCAACTGTCTCAAATGGCGGCTTTTGTTCTGATTGCTGTGTTTGCTGCTTGCTGTGTGCTCGCAATTTGTTTGTTTTCCTTTATTGTTCTCTCGCCATATGCCCTCAACAATTACCCAGTGTGACGCCGTAGGTAAGTCTGAAAATAGATGGATATAATGGGTACTTGGGTATGGCAACAGAGCTAGAAATACATCCAAGTTATTTTAAATGCAGAAACTTTTATGTACTGTTTTACAAGTCAGCACGGATCATTTTAGGTGTTGACATGTAAAAAATATTCACAAAACACTATCACAGTTTCAGAAAACATTGCCTGGAAAAATAAGTCATAAATATCTTTGTGTGTCTGCAATTTTAAAGCTGAGAGATGTCAGCGCCAGTTTAAATTACAGCATGCATTTTATCTGCAAGACGGTAAGCAGTCCATTACTTTATATGGGCAGTGTAATTTAATAGTAACATCTGTGTTGAGTTTTGCATCTGCCAGCAAAAACTTTATAGGCAAAACTGGATTCGGGTAGTGATTTTCGGAAAGGGCAGTAATAGCAATAACTGATTAATTTAGGAATAGGTCTGAAAAAACGGAATGAATTTAATGAAAAAAGGCGTCTGATTTATAAAGTGATTTTTGGACACTCCAATTCAACTCCATTCTCTCTATACTCAGTTGTGGCAAACTACTATTGCCACAGATGCCCTGGGGTAGATTAACAGAAGCAAGGCTGCCAATCTGCACATTGCCCCCTCCAACCACCATCATTCATGCTCACAGCACGTTCATACAAGGCAATGTGGCTTAAGTGTCTTGCCTAAGGACACAACTACAATGTCCACTAGAGTCATTGGTGCCCCTTGTGGCCTTGTGTGACTGAATCAGAGCTAAACGAGGGCTAAACCAGAACTAAACCAGGCCTCAACCAGGACTAAACTAGGACTAAACCAGAGCTAAACTAGGGCTAAATCAGGACTAAACCTGGGCTAAACTATGGCTGAACCATGACAAAACCAGGACTAATCCAGGGCTAAACTAGGACTAAACCAGGGATAAACCAGGGATAAACCAGGACTAAAACAGAGCTAGACTAGGGCTAAACCAGGACTAAACTAGAGCTAAACCAGGACTAAACCAGGGATAAACTAAGACTAAACCAGAGCTAGACTAGGGCTAAACCAGGACTAAACTAGGGCTAAACCAGGACTAAACCAGGGCTAAACCAGGACTAAACCAGGGCTAAACCAGGACTAAACCAGGACTAAACCAAGGCTAAACCAGAACTAAACCAGGACTAAACCAGGGCTAAACCAGGACTAAACCAGGACTAAACCAGGACTAAACCAGGGCTAAACCAGGGCTAAACCAGGACTAAGCCAGGGCTAAACCAGAACTAAACCAGGACTAAACCAGGGCTAAACCAGGACTAAACCAGGACTAAACCAGGACTAAACCAGGGCTAAACCAGGACTAAACCAGGGCTAAACCAGAACTAAACCAGGGCTACAGCAGTGTCCCATCCAAGTACTAAACAAGCCCAACCTAAATGTCCACCGAAGACACTAAAATCAACCACAAGGGGTCAGTAAAGAAACAAATAATTAATTTTAAGGTGTCTGTATCATAATCGTTCCCATATAAACTCAAGCTCCAGAGTCTAACATTTTCCCCCAGTCTAAAAACAATGTGGACAGTAAACTGACCTAACAGATGATTTTTTTTTTTTTTACACTTATTACACTATGATTTTTTTTTCTTACCATTGCCCTGTGCAGCACTTTCTCCCTCTAAATCTCCAACTCAAACAGCCCAGAAATCATCTTGACAGTGACTTTGGCTGGTGCGTCCTCAGAGCATCTGTGCTGAGTTAGTTGGGCAGAGATGGATGGTCTTATTCGATGCGTGTGTTCCTGAAACCGTGTGTTGTGTGTGCGCTTTAGTCCCATTGGGGTTTCAATGGGGAGAGAGGGAGTCGATACTTGTGGCATGTGAAGTGAAGGCAACCATTACTTCAACCTCACTGACTTTGTGTTGAGTTAGAGGACAAAGGAGACAGGCAGAGGAAGTAGGAAAAAAAGGATCAAATGCAACATGCTTTAAAGGTACACCAACTTTTCTGGTGATGGATCTGCCACCTGTTTGTGTTCATGGAGGTATTTTTGAGCAATAGGCCTATCTGTAATTGAATAATGACCAGAGGGGTATGTTTAATGGTACACTGTGGACCAATACAGGCAAAGAAATGACATCTCCATGGAGACAAGCAGGTAACATATCCACAAAAGACATTACAGCGTGCACCTTAACAAGAAATGCATGAAACGAGCCAGAATCAACCCAAAACTACTCAAATAAGTGTATCACATAGACCTGCTTGTAATAACTATGTAAACGTATTTCCATTGTCCCTTTGCAACCTTGGGCATTTTGGTTAACATAAATAAGCCTACAACTAAACAATTCAATTTCTTTTTGCAAATAACGAATTTTGGACATGCTATTAAGGCCAAACAAAACAGTACGAGCTTGTTTCAGAAATATAATGAAATATTACGTTGAGTTGAACTTGAGGTCCAATGCAGGGTTTTAAAGAAGACTCTGGAGTCCTCTAGTGGACACCATGCAGAATTACAACCAGCAACATCAACAACAAACCAGGGCCATAAGAAGTAATAGTGACAACCAGACTCTTCAAATATTACAAAAAAGCTAAATATGCATTAACCTTTTTCTATTTGGACAGTTGTAAAGGTTTTGTTTTGTTTGTTTTGTATAATATTATGAATGAACAAATACATTAAACTACCGATTCATCTACAAGCACTAAAAAGAAGAAGTCTGTAACTTCACTTGTTTAACTCTACATTTCTTTAAATCAGGTGAAATACTTTTACAGAGGTTGTAGAACTGGGCTGCACTTGGTAGCCTATTTGTAAAATTAAATATAAAATGTACTGAATTAAAAATGGAAAATAATGCAAATTCATGTAAAGCCGATTGATTTGGGACTCACCATAGACTTTTCCGAGGAAGAGGGTCTTGACCAGGTTGAGCTGCGTGTCAGAGGCATCAGGGAGGGTGTAGCTGACCGCAGGGTAATGATCCAGCTGGACACACACGGACACACACAGACACACACAGATCACATATAAAGGTTCAGTGCATTTAAAACACAGGCCAAAAACACTGAGGCAGCACTTTAAAGAGCTGCTTCAAAGTCCACATCAGCACATTTAAGCAGGGAGCACAGGATGGTAAACTGTGTGCTGTCTTTGTGTAATATAACAAAGTGCAATGTCTCCCTCTTGTGGTATGAAATTGAACAGCAGTTTAAGTAGTAGTAAGAAAGTAGTAGTAAAAGTAGTAAAAAATTTCATACATTAAAAAATTACAATACTACACAGCAAAAAAAACAACAACAACAAACAAACAAAAACAAAATCTAGGTAAGTTACAATGACTTAAAATAAGAACATTTAACTTTTTTGTGTTGATTCAAGCAACATTAGATTTTGTTTCTTATTTTAAGTGCAAAGAGTTTCTTTATTTATAAGTGCAGCATGATGTATTTTAAAATTTTCAAAGTACAAAAACCTTGTTCCATTAGTAGATCATTTTACCTGTCACGTTAAACTTACTAAAATCATGATCAAACTTTCTTAATTCAAGTCATCTTAACTAGATTATAGTTTTTACAGTGATATGATACAATACACAACTTTCGGTAAGATAATTCTACACATAATACATGATTAAAAAATAATCACAAAATAAAAAAAAAAAAGTATCTTATCCAGTGCAAAAATAGATCTTTAATAGAGTATCAAAGTATAACCAAAACAGTGTATATAAGTGTGTCCTACCATTCAGAGTTAATGACATCCTCAGTAGTGGTTAAAACAACAAACGGATCTTTATCTTGCATGAACAATCAAACATTAATTAAACAATGTGTTATCTAAAGCCACATAACTTTAACGCTCCAGACAGAGATGATCCAGTGTTTTTATGGTGGAGGAATGAGAGAGGGGAGAGGGAATACACAACGCTAATATCCCTGCTACATAATTAACTTGTTATTGCTGTTCCACTGAAGATTCTAATTAGCTTGAAGGCTACAGCCAATGCTACTGACGAGAATGATTCAAAATGCCTTTCGGTGTAAATGCGCTGGTAGAAAATAAAAGATCTTTTGTCTCTTTTGCCCCCTCAATCCCACAGCACAGCCTATAGCGGTAGCAAGGTTGATTGAAAACAATGAGTTGCATTTATTGAGAATTTGTTTCATTGATTGGCTGAATGGCTGTTGGGCCCTGGTGCTCAAAGGTTGCCCAAGCCATTTCAGTTTTTAATGTTTTTGAGAGCGATTTCCTCCCTGCCCACCTCTCCTCTCACTGTTTCTATTTACACAACAGCATATCCTAATTTGATTCATTCCAAAAGCCGTGTCTCGGAGGAGCGGAGAGCAGGGCTGTGTTTTGCAGAGTGACTGGAGGGTGGGATAATGGGGCACAATTAAATCGCGCTCAGCTTATTTACTTTTATCTGAGAAAACAAATTGGCTGCTCAGTCAGGGAGGGCTGTCGAGGCAACCACCGTGCGCACAAAAAGGTCCACGGAGGAAGAAAGAAAGGCCTGGCCAAGACACAAAACATTTCACCAAACTCTGTCAATTACAACCTCAATTATTTGGATCCCTTTTTCGATTTCATTGCACTATTTACAAAAGACAATTTGGTCTTTATACCAAGGGGAGTCTCAGAGGGTGCATACAGTTTACATCAGGGACTAAAACAAAGTGAAAATTAACAATGGGTGAAATCTAGTTTTCTGATGTGCAGCCTCATCTAGTCTGAACATAAAGAGCCATTAGTAATTCTATAGGCTTGGATTTTACAGGAGACAACCAAAACTCCCAATAAACATTACAACTTTCAGATCTTGTTTTTATTATGCATTTTAATAGGATAGGTTCAGCTCTAAATGAGTCAAAGCCTATCCCATTAAACTGTGGGAATTGACTAATAAAGTTAACTTCATGTGTTCATTATCTTTGGGACCCTATTCCCTCTTAAGTTTTGTGTGTAAAAGTACCAAACACTTTCCCAGTCAACAGACATTCTTTGCACACTTTTCGACCATATTTTCAGCCTTTTTTAAATAAAACCGATGCGGCCTTCTTTGCTTCTGCCTTGAACCAACACAAAAAAGTCTTATATTGAACCACTTGGGCCATTGAAATGCACAGTTAACAAATACATCCATGCTGAGTGCAGTGGCGGGAGAGACTATTCTTTGAGACAATTTTTATGAAATTTCCCCAAAGTGGAACACAAGGTTTTTCTATCACCTTATCATCAAACAAACACAATACAAGTCTGAAAAAGCTACAAAAACAAACCTTACTAAAGATTTTTTACTTTGATACAAATAAAACCAGACAGCTAATCCTACAGTAAACTACATTAAGGCTGCACTATGTAACTTTCTGGTGAAGGGTCTATCACTTTCTTGTCTCTGTGTTAGTGCTTTGCCTGGAGTGAAGACAAGCAGAAAGCACAATAATGCCAAGTTACAGGTCAGATCTGTGGAGAGGCGAGTCAGCATGTTCCTCAAACACAGATCTGTAACTGAACACATGGAAGACAGAAAAGCTTAATGCCAGGGGACTCCAACTTGTAGATTGGGAGCTACTGGTAGCTCTGCACCCCCTTCTAGAAGCTTGCCAAAGGATTTCTAAATTACATGTATTGTCCTGAAAAAGTAAAATTTGATTAATTAAATGTCTATTACCTTTGTACATGTATTATTTTGATGCCTAATTTTGGGTACTAATAAATAGGTATCTAACTGCACCTCCTTTAAGGCTGACCATGGCACTTAAATGTAGGCCTACTCCACTTCTTCTGACAGCTAAAACTAGTAGCTCTCTGGCATTTTCATTTGGTAAAGTTAGCTCACCAGAGGAAAAAGGTCGGAGACCCCTGATTAATGCCATGCTGTGAAACATTCGTAGCAAAGCAGATACATCGTGGAGGCAACATAGCGCACCATTAAATAATACTCAATAACAGACTAACCCAGTGGCTTTTGAAGACGTGCCTCAGTATTCTCGACTACACTTTAGCTGATCATGTCGGAGGAGTGAGGGAGGAGAGGGGAGAGCGGGGGGAGGGGAGAGGACAGTGCGGCGGCAATGAAACTGCCTGGGGGGCTGGCTCACTTTCATCTTTAAACTTCCACTGTTGAGGAGAATGGGGTGAGCCATAGATGGGAGAGACTGGAACATATTTTGATCTTGGCGTGGCTTTGATAGTGAACTAACCTGACAAGACCTCCCCCAAAAATAGATCTACCTTTTCATATATTGATAGTGCACACATGTGGCTAACTGTAATGGTTTTGGTAGAGACTTGGACAACTTGGAGATATTCTTTTGCCAGAAATGTTCCACAGTATGGCATTAAACATGGACATAAGCAAGTGGCACTACCAAGCCTAGTCTCAAGTTTTTCCAATGCATTTTTGAGTAGTAAAACACCACTAGTTATTACATGAATACAAGATAGATACGTTTCATTCCATACTGTAAAACATTTAACACAAAGCAATATCTCCATGGTGACAAGCAGATGTCAAACCTGCCTGTAGACAAGTGGTATAGTGCTGCTTTAAACTTGTTTAGGAGTCAAATAACTTTAAAGGTACACTGTGTAACTTTTCTGGAGGGGCTCTGCAACCTGTTTGTCTCTATGGAAATGTTAATGCTTTGGTTTAAATTGTCCACAGTATGGTATAAAACTAATCTGTCTTGCATTTATTGAACTACAGTGTTTTTTATTTCTCAAAAATGTCTTTAAAAACATCCACTCTCACTGTGTACACAAATCTTACTGGTAATTTGGCTTGCAAGTCTCCATGGAGTATATGGCACATTCTCGGCACATTTCCATGGAAACAAGCAGGTGACGGACCCTCCAGCAGACAAGTTACACAATGTACCTTTTAAGTGGTTTGTTGCGCTGTGTTTTTCACTTTCTTTATCTCTCTGTTCTGGCTGCGTTGGCACTCTGAGTCCACTTACCACCCACCAGTGCTTCTCCAAATCCAACAGGGCCATGGCTTTCTCCATCACTTGTCTGAAAGCTTTTAAGATTTGCACCTGATAGAGGCAAAGGGAGACCTAAACAGGGCCCGGTAAACACTTGACTCTGCACTTCCATCTCAAAACCGAATTTGATTCACAGACTGCAGTCGAGTGGACTTCTATTCATTTAAATGGGTTTATATTTCGGCCACACAACACTGCTCTTAACATTATGACCATCTGGCAGTGATTAGTCGTCCAAGTTACCACGGCAGCGAGGACCACCCTACAAAAGGTGCACACTGCAGAAAGTTTTGCGCTAGAGATTGGGCAATATATCAAAATATTGTGCTGGGTGTTTTCCCATGTATTTGAGTAGAATGTGTCTTGCCCCAGTACAGATATAATGCATAAGCAGCTTGTGAGCTCAAAATAAGTCTGCTGCATACTGTCTGCATCTAATAAGAAAACATTTTATTGTCTGAAAATCAGGATGTGCACATTAGCATGCTAGCTGTTATTAGCTTTACCTACATGGTAAAACTCCACACTGGTCACCCGGTGAATAATAATGTTCGGAATGCATAAGGTAAGTGAGAAATTAATTTATTGAACTAGATCTGTTTTTCCTGTTGTAAAAATACATTTTTAGCATATTGGCCTTAAATCTCCAGCACAAACAGATTTAGTTTTGGCCAACCAGCTGCCAAAAGAATCGAAATGAACCTTGGTTTGAACAAGTATGAAGAGGTAACTGCACAAACTTTAACTACAAAACTCTCTTATAGATTTATGGAGTTTGTAGTAAATTTAAATGACATGATTTGAGCAAAATAATCTAAATATTGGCGCATAAATATCGTCAGAACAGATAGGCCATCGTTGCTCAAGATTGTAAACAATTGGCATCAGCATCGGCCATAAAAACAAATATTGGTCAACCTCTACTGTTAAAAAAGAAAAGTTTTCAAAATTAAAACATAATAAATGTATGTTGTTAACTTCCCAATGAGGGTATAACTTGAAATGTCTTCACTTTTAAGGGTATTTATACTGTAATTTAAGACTTGTTTGATACTACAAGCTGAACTAATGCATGTAAAGTTTTTTTTTCATGGCTTGTACAGATATAATATCATCTTAGTATCATAATTTTCCAAAAAAACAAAATCTACTTTTGTCAGTATGGCCTGATTACTAAAACCTACTTGATTTAAACTGTTATGATGATTTCAGTAGTTTAGTTCAATGGATGTTTTTCCATCTTGGTTTAATAGGATTCTCTCTTTAGTTCAGTCTAAAAAGTCTGCCAATGGAACAAGAAAATGTGCTTGAAATTAGATAAACCTTCTTAATTTGAGTTATTATTTTGAAGGCTACAAGAAGTGTCATGTAACTAGTTTAAAACACAAGGCAATATTAGTGATTACATCCAAACATTTAAAATATAAGTCAATAAACATGTACATTTGTCTAGTTTTCACCAGTGACCATCATCAAACACACTCTACCACATCAGTTTAACTACAAAATCACTGAAAATATGTATTAATATTCCTATCACCTGTTATTTTTCACAATGTTATGCCTGATTCGTGGACATCTGACTCAGAGCGGAGTCATTACATCTAGTTTCAAAAGGGGATTTGAATGGAGTAAACAAAATAATAATGACTTGGTTACATTTTAAATGCTGATGGTGGGCTCAAACAGCTCTAGGCTTTAATGCATAATGCAACAATTTGGGAGGAATTAGCTTGGGTGCACTCCAGTCACTAATGATTCGCTTCAATGTCTAAAAGCAAATGGGCCCAGGCGTTTGAGCACAGAGCTGCACATTCGATCGGACTACAAGAGCTTTCCATAAATGACGTCCAGAACAACATTATCAGAGCTAATAGAAGGTTACATTATGAAAAGCAGTGTATTTCTCTATAAATGTGCATGTAAGTATAAAACAGGTTTGAATGGCTAATGTGTTATTCTTTGGACTATTTCAGCTACAGCTATAAAATGTTGAAGTGGGCTTAGTAAGTATATCTGTAAACAAGATTATTATTATAGAGTCTGAAGGCTTGCATTGAAAGAAGTTTGGAAGTTGACAAATTGGTATCGTCCATCCAAGTCGCAGATCAGGGTAAGGATACATGTTTTTCTTGTTTTCTGAGAACATGTAATTGAATAAATGAAATATTAATATGTTTATTGTGCCCTCCACCAGAAAAGTTACATAGTGTGTCTTTAATGTTCTAAACCTTTACAAAAAACACACTAGAGATAAAAATGTATAGTCATTTCACAAAGCTGGACTGTGTTTACCCACATTTGCCTTTAAAGTTGCGTTCGAAAACTTGGCTCACCATCAATAACCTGACTGTCAACATTAGCTGGTACAAGGCAGCGTGCATTTCCTATGTGCACGTCTATGGGGAGTCAGGGGATCCTCCATTGACTTCAATAGGTTTGTGTGTCAGTAAAGTGGCCCCAGTGGAGTGATCAGGGGCCGCTGGGCGTGATTTGTTCAGAAAATGAGGAAGACTTAGGAAAGATATTTCAGTTTAATTCTCCAGCTGTCTGAATTTTTCACTCTGGTTGCAAATGCAGGGAGGTGATGAGATTCTGCTATTGATGGTGCATCGCTGTAGATGCCACCACAGTGAAGGACGGCTTATGGCGCACAGGGAGCAGAAGCGAGGAGTTTCATATCGGGTTTTTCATATAGGAAGCTGGCATAATTACTGCTTTGGATCAAACGTTTTAAAATATTGCACCTATATAGTCTTATTTATTAACCTGGAGTTAGGAATTGTTTCATTCATTTATTTTTATGACACAAACCCTGCATATTTAGGCTAAGGCTTCTTCTCTCAAATAGAAAACACTCACCTTGTCATGTGGTAATAAAGAAAGTGCTCCACTGTGCTTTTAAACTCCATACACCTTCACTAGAATGATTTGGATGATTTTAGCCCTAGAATTTCCAATCTCTACTGAACTAAAGCTAAAAGGCAGCTAACCGCTACATAACATCACAAGGCCAGACAGGGCATTTTGAGGTTTGGAGCCATAGACAGACTAATAATAATGGATTCCTCAAACATGTGTGAATGAAACAAAACACAACTGTAGGTATGATCTGAGGCAATAACAGCATCATAACAGGGCTTAAAGCTCACAATAACCCATTCTGTGTCATATAGGACCTTTAACATTTTAAATTAACGTATAACTTTGAGGTAATAGTTCCAAAAAGTTTAAGACACATACACTATTGAATAAGATAACACAAGGCTCTCTTCTTGCGAGAAAGTTATTAAAACAATAAATTCCGTCAATGTTATTCTGAATTAATATGAAACTTCTTTATGGCCACAAGGGGAGATCTTTCTGGGAATTTGATTTTCCTTGCGCAGCTCATCTGAAAACATTGTAAGATTAAAATTATATTGGAACTAACACATAAAACATTGTGAGAAGTAATTGAAAGTGTAACATTTAATATACAGAAGTGTGCTAGTGTTGTTCTGATATATGGATATATGATCTATGGTTTTATCTTTAGAGGCAGGTAACCGTATTTTCATGACACATCTTGACAATGCCTTGAATACAACAGATATTTTTTGTTGTTCTACATTGAAAGAGCAGTCTGTATTTTGGCAAGATCCTTAAAGGTGCACTGTGGAAATTTTCTGGTGGAGGGTCTGATATCTGTTTATATCCATGGAAATAAATAAATAAAATATATCCATCTTGCATTTACTCAAAAACATTGCTTTTTATTGACTTAAACTTGCATTTGTACGGTGAGTGGGCTTACCACTCCACAGATCTAACATGTAACTTAGCCCTATAGTCACCTGCTGTCCCCATAGAGGAAGTGTAATGGTGGGGAACATTCCAGGTAATATCTCCATGGAGAGGAGCTGTTGATGGGCCCTCTGTCAGAAAAGTTACACAGTGCACCTTTAACATCTATTTGCTAACAATGTATATTCATATATTTTTTGCATCTCCATGTTACCCTCCTTTTTACACAGCCTTTTTTCCAGGCAGTCAGTAATGGCTAAGCCAAATTTTCGTTCCTTCCCTGATGCTCCAGAGCCTTTGCAGTATTGATCTGCACTGAGCTGCAGTCCACAAACACAGTATCACCATGCTCCTGCTACACTCTATTTAATAAATGAACTGCAATTACAACATGCTTAATACACACAGATCAATGCATGTTTAGCTATATTTGTCTTCTATTGGATTGAATGAACTGTGTTATCGTTTCATCAAACCACAAGAGCAAGTGAGGGCAACTACTCTCCCTTTTGACACAAAATGCAAAAGCTTATGCTGCTTTTTACAGTTTTGTACTACTTTGTGCACTTCTGTGCAGTGCCGTCAGTTCTTAACTGCTTGTAAGAAGAGGCTTAAATTTTTCATCTTTCTCAAGTGTCAGCTAAAGGCCACAGAGGATGTATTTGGGTTATTACAGAGTGCAATTTTAAAGGGGAATTATTATGTAAAATCGGCTTAATAGACCTTTTCCCTTTGTTAAATGTTCCTTCATCATTACCTTACCCAAAGTTGTATTTTTGATTGATTCATTTTTTTCTTACATTTGAGGTTTGAAAATTCCACTTTTCACCTACCCCTATTTCCAACCACTGCTCTCTTTAGTTGCAGTGATTGCTCTTAAATGTCATAGGGCCACTCTGCAAAAACAATGCCACTATGAAGAGCTATGTGACCTGTTTCTATTATTCAAGTCATTTTAGATCAATATTGCAGTTTATTCAGTTGAACAAAATGTGAAATAATGATAATATACTAATATAGATAATATACTTTAAAGGTTCTATAATGCTTGAAATCGACCCTTGTGAGCTTTAAGCCATGTTATAACGTTGTTACCTCCTCAGAAACATACCTCGAGTTGTTTAGTTTGGTTTGTTTCATTCACACATGTTTGAATAACCCTTTATTATTAGTCTGTCTACATCTCCAAAGCTCAAAATGCTCCGTTCTACTTTGTGATGTCATGATATGGTAGTTTTCAAGTTAAAAGCCCCTTTAACCTTTAGTTCAGAAGAGACTGGCAATTCCAAGGCTGCAATTACCCATGTGATTGCAGTGAGAGAAGAACTCAGCCTAAATATGCAGGGTTTGTGTGTTAAATGTGTGAATGAAACAAAACACAACGCCAGGTATGTTTGTGCTGAGGAAACAACATTAAACCATAGATCAAATAATAGCAAAAATATGGACCCTGTAACACTGAATACCTGTAAAAAAGCAATCATGTCTTCTTCAGGTGTGTGTGTGTTTGTGTGTGTTTGTGAGAGCGCTGTGCACCTGTATGCTAATGCTTCTATTCACTCGGGACATGTTGATGTTGTGGGGTTGTCCGTTGGCCAAGTTGCGCTGGTCCACGTCGATGGCGAATGGCTCCCTCAGACCGCCCAGGCTGTAGCGCACCTGCAGTGAGCCTAAAACACAAAACATGAAAATCAATGAATTATGCATCACACATAAAAGGTACCATCTCCAAACAGGATTAATAAATGATGATGTCCACCTCACAAGGTAGAGTTATTACATCATTTTATCTTTCTTTTTAGCCTCTGAGCTGCCACAGAGAATCTGAGTCATACTGGGCATCGATTTGCATCTTAATTTTGTCGTCTCTCACACAACCAGTCCATTTATATATACAGGTTTGGAGCTGAGATGAAGGGAAGTGGACACGGGCTTCTGAACCTTGTTGGCTAGATTGAGCTATAATAAATTAAAAAAGCAAAAAAAAAAAAAAAAAAACCCTGCAAAATATGAATACAATTTGAACAAAGCATCCAGTGGTTATAACAATTGTGTAATATAATCAATGGATTTTTTTTGTAACTGTTGTATTTGAAAGACAATTCAGTACAATTCATTTTAAAAAAATATAAATTTTTTTACAGTTTGTCTATAGGTTTGCCCTTTTTTGCAGAATTTTCCTTGTTAAAGCAGACCTATTACACAAAATCAACTTTTTAGAGTTTTTAACTATAATGTAATAATCGTTTTCCCCACCATTTACTCACCTAAAGTCATATATGGAGTGATTCATGCACATCTGAGCAGTCTTTAATAGCTTATTTTCAACACGTCAATTCACCTCTACTGGCATACGCCCTCCACTCTGTACATACATCTTTCTTCAGTTTTATTTTCTGAGTCTATGATACGCGCAGGATTAAGCAGCATCGCGTAGTCATTGTGGTATAAATGAAAAAAAAAAAATCTGTGGCTCCTAGCGTGATGTGCAGCTATCCATCGGGGGTGCTGACAACTTTACTGGTCTTTGCTGTGTTGAAGTTTACAGTGATGTCAGCTCCCATTGGGCAATGCAGTTTTGTTTGTTGTTTTAGATGATTATTGCTATTTAAAATGTGCAAATTATAACATAACTGGTGTCATAGATTACAACTATATAGCAGACATAACCACCATATATCTTCTTTAAAACCTGCAGAGGTGTGAACAGTCAGAAAGAAATCAGATTACTCACATTAGATGAAACTGTTTACATGACATTTCTATCATCGATAACTCCAGAAATCAGATGATGTTCAGATTTTTGGTGTGTGTGTCAACATAGCCACTGATCTGTTTCTCTCACCATTGTGCCTCAGCAGCAGGGCCAGGTAGTCGTGAGTCTTGGCACTAACGTAGAGCAGAACTGCGGGGGAGTTGGAGGTGCTGAAGCTCAGGCTGACCTCCTCCCTGGTCAAGTTCACCTCCTGAGGCCAGAGCTGGTGGGACTGTAGTCTGGAGTCTCTGCTGGTCAACACAGGCTCAGGGGCCAAGCTGTACCTCACCAGAGTGCCTGCCTCGAAGAAGCCACCAATGTCTGAACAAGGAAGAAAAAACACAGTCAGGCAAAGCGGATTTAAAACTTTCTAACACAAATAGACCATCACTGAAAAATGTAAACATGTTAAAGATGCACTATGTAAGTTTTTGGAACACTCCATGCTTGTCTCCATGAAGATGTTGTTGCTTTGCCTCAGGTTTTACAGTATCTGTTGTATTTATGAAACTCCATTGTGACTGTGAGTGGGCTTGCCGTTCCACAGATCTGCACTGAATAACATCTGCAGGAAGACAAGAAAAGTTACTTAGTGCAACTTTCAAAGACTGTAAAAAAAAAAGTACTAAAATATAGGATAGAAATAGGCACTAGACCAACACGCGCAGCTTTGTAATCATGTAACAGAAAATAAACCATCCGTAACAAATTTCAGTTATCACTTCTTTGTGTTTAGTGTTTCCTGTAAAGACCTGCCGCATCAAATTAGCTTGTCCATTAGGTTTTGCTTTACATATTAATTAAGCAACTCACAACTTAAATAATAATGCTTAGGGGGAAACAGGGTGGAAACATGTCAAAACAGCAAAATTGTCCAGTTTGCCTCGAAAAATGTTTATGTGAGCGAACTAAGAATAAGTTTCAAATAGATTCAAATAACCTGCTGTGAAGAGGAGAGTGGCTGTATTATCTATAAAGCCATACTCTAATGCTTTCTTTAAATATGAATGTACTGGCTATTGTACAAGCATCGCACCAGGTGGTACACTTATTCTTGCTTATAAATAGTATTTTAAAATGTCACTTTTCTAGCTGCTTGCTTTGGGCTACATCGATGAGCCTGATCTATTGTAAAGCAGAAATATGCAGTTTACTTGAGAACTATGCACCCTAAACAGCGCAAAAACATAATGAGATGCCCCATTGACCAGAAGTTATTGCTTGATGCCTTGGGCTGCTAAACCATATCAAGTATACAGGCTTGAGAAATGAATGAAAACCAACACATATATAGGCTTAAAGGATAAGCAGAGGTATAGAAACATTAACATAAACCAAAGGAAAAATGCTGCTGAATAACTGAAAGGGCCCATATTACACTATTTTCTGATCTATGTTATGTTGTTTCCTCATCGAAAACAAATCTGGAGTTGTGTTTTGTTTCATTCAAACATGTTTAACTAACACACACTCTATTCTACCTTGATGGCATGTGGTAATACAGGAAGTGCTCCTCTATGCTTTTAAAATCCATACACTTTCACTAGAATCATGTGGATGCTTTCAGCCCCGGAACTGCCAATTTCTACTGAATTAAAGGTAAAAGGTAGCTATTAACTTGAAAACCACTGCTTCATGACATCATAAAGTGGAACAGAGCATTTTTAACTAATAACAAAGGGTTAATGAAACGTGTGAATGAAACAAAACACAACCCAAGGTATGTTTTTGAAGAGGTAACAACATTCGAACATGGATTAAAGCTCACAAAAGTTACTTTTGCATAACACAGGCCCTTTAAACAACAGACATTTTGGTGGGTGTAAAGCTGTGCAAGTTTATCACATTAACACAACTAATGATATCTTTATTCGTCCTGGAGCCTTATTGAATCTCCTAATCAAGTGTTAAATGGCACAGACCCGATTTTCGCTCCTCTCTTAAGCCCTTCGTCTGTATCCAAATGTGCATGCTTGCCAGTTACAGGGAGACCAAGCACAATGTCCATGAAATTAAAATAAATACTCAGACAAAGTGGAGAGTCCAAGGTTATGTGTGTAAATGCAGTGATGCAGCGCTAACCCGATACTTACTTTCCATTATAAACACACTCCAGCTCACCTACTCAACCGAACAACAACCAACAACAGGGAGAGAGGCAACAGGGTTTTACAGTGATCTATACATAACCACATTCAACCTTATGTAACAGATAATTAAAAGAGAGAGTTAATAGATAACCTCAGAGCCATTTCCATCTTTGTACTGTATCCTCACTCTACCTTTGTCATGCTATATAGCCTTGATAGTTTATATTAAGTATATTTTATTGTACCTGTACGTATACATTCTGTATATTTGTGATTTATTTGTCTTAAATTAACTCTTTACTGCTTTAGATGTATAGTATATTTTGTATTTGAATTACTATGTCTTTTTTCTCCTTGTTATTATATTGTAATGTGTAACTATGAGCTATACCGTGGCCAAATAATTTCCATGGTGGATCAATAAAATTTGTTTCAGTCTAAGTTTAAGTTTAAAAAGAACAGTAAATCAGAAAATGGGATTTAAAGGGCCCATATTACATTGTTTTCTGATCTATGTTATAATGTTTCTTCATCAAAAACGTACCTGGAATTGTGTTTGGTTTCATTCACACATGTTTAACACACAAACTCATAACAGTCAATTTTGCGTAATATAGGGCCTAAAAGTTATCGCAATCCTCAAAGAAATTGTACAGCAGATGGCGCTGTTGTCCTCCTGCTAGTTGAAGGAAAACTATATCATATCTCCCTTGACCCCTGTAAAGAGGACAACAATAACAGTTACTCAACTTAGACTTCAAGAGAATAAATAACAGTTATTACATCTAATTCAAGACCATTTACCACATCACTTCCTCTCTCTTTAAAATACCTTTGCAGTCATCATGAAAGTAGCACGCTGTAATCTCTCCATCTTTCTACCATAACCTCTTTGTTTTGGGTCTATTCAAACTGTGGACCACATTCTAGCCTTTTTCAGCCTTTCTCTCTCCTGCTGTGAAAACAAGCCCTGAGCTCCACACATATGCGCTCATGTCTGGAAGCCAAAAGAGTCAATGAGAAAATTCAGCTTGGGGGCTTACGCTAGCTTTGGAGTTCTTGTATTTTGACGTGAGCAAGATTTTTAAGCTGTGAATTCTCTCAAACAGCTCCAACAGGTGTGAGCTTTGCATGTTTATAGATGTTGGAGCAAGTGCGTGTGACCCTAGAGGGCAAAAGAAAGACAGTGTAATAATAATACTACAGAGGCATCCCCTGAGCTGTGCGTAAATATGGATACAATGGAAATGTACGGGGCAATTATAGCAGCTTCATGCATTTTTCACTCACTGAGAGGAGGAGAGGACAGGGGAAGATTAAATGCAGAGAAGATGTGATTTTGAGGAGGGCAATAGGGACGTAGAGAAGAGAAACATGGCTAAAATTGTAATGAAAGCATTAATATTAGAGTGAGGCAGAGGTTGTGCAAACAAATACACAAATGGCCTCTTTGTGAATTGCTGAGGAATGAGATATGTTCATTTAAGTGACTTCAGAAAAGCAGGAACAAAGGTGAGTTCAGAAGAAAGGGGATGACTACACTTTTTTGTATCAATGAAGTGTTCTGTGTACACAAACATAAAGCAAAAGAGGGAATAATGAACTAACCATTGGTTCTTGTCAGTAGTGACAGGAGAATGAAGTTGTAAGAATGAATTAGGGATGCTCCGATACAGGAAATTTGTCTGGATCGGATATCAGTCCCGTGGTATCGGCTAAGATGATATCCTTTAATCTTATGTAAAAACTGGCTATTTGCAGGCTGATGTAGATCTGTAAGCTTAATTACAGCATAAATAACAATTACATAACACAATTGAATCAAATGTGTAATCATTTTTTGGGGAAAACAGTTAGTCTCAATCCCTACACTAATATCGGTTAATACAGGGGTGAGCAAACTACGGCCTGCCGAACTTCAATAATAGTAATAATAATTTTTCAATGTTTTAAAAAGTCATTTCAATAAATAGTAAATACCGTGAGACTTTAAAGACAGATATTTTGTTGTAATGCTTTGTAATAATTTTGGGGATATGGGATATGTTTTATATATCCCATGTTTTTTTTTCTCTTATGAGGTGGATTACCAAAAAACGTCTGGTCTGGCCCTTCCATCAAATTTTAGAACCCTTTGTGGCCCACGAGTCAAAATGTTTGCCCACCCCTGGGTTAATATCTGGCATCGTTGGATATTTAAATGCATCCCATGTAAAGCTGAACAATAAAATCCCAATCCAAAACAAAGTTTATCCCGCCAAATTATTCAAATCATTAATCAAAAGGAATCAATTGTATGATGTTCACCTTGTTCAAATCACTGTTCAGATAATCCAGCTTCCAGTTCTAATAAAAATCTTAATGCTTCAGCACAACTAAAAATAAACAACATAACTACCCAGTGGCCGGTGGTTGAGTCCCAGTGCATGCTCCTGTATGTGTGGATGTGGTGTGTGCATGATTAGTGGCGGTTGGTGTAGCAGCTGTGGTTACAGAAATAGTTACCGTTTTGAGTGTCCTTATACTGTATAAATCAAATACTATTTTTATTACTACATAAGTATGACTTAAATTGTACAGACTTGTAAAAAGTATTTGTATATGCTCAAATTCTACTTACATCTGTACCATTATAGAACATACCAGATGTATTAGAAGTGGTGAAATTATTGTTTAAACAAAGTCACAAAAGCATCATATCTAGAATTTATATTAGTTGAATTACATTATATTATTTTATTTTTTAAACAGTTAATAAGCCATCTGACTACATCTTCCACCTTTGTCAGCGCCAATGACAGACACAAAACAATATGAGCGTGTGGCTAACCTCTGATTGTGAATCCTAAACTCCCTGATCAGCTGTGACAGCATTTAGACGAGCTATTTGTGTGTCGTAAAGTTGCTCATTACAGCCCCCACCTCCACACAAACACAGAGCGACGCAGGCCCCGTTCTTCCTGCTTTTCTGTCATCTTGTCACCCTCCTGCTCACGGCGCCCAGAAAAGCCACGATCTGCTTTGGGAAACAAATGAATTCACGTGTCGCAGATAAACCCTCGAACTGTGAAAGCAAAGACTCACCCACCCATGGAATACACCAAAGAAGAGGTCTGTCTTGGTTTGTTTGTTTAATGTCTTATAGTGCGGTGATGACTAAAGAGGTAGATATTTCAAGTTCGAAATAATGTCACTAACATTTGGTTTTGTAATAGGAATTTCAGAGGTGGAAAAAAATATATGCGTATATGTCTATGTAAATTAATGCCCTCATTCATCCAGGCGTCCCAAGTTTTCCAAAGAGTAATCAACTGCACAAATGGCCTCTCAAAAATGCACTGTTTTGTCTTGAATATTCCACAGTATGGCATTAAATTAATCTCCACAGAGACAAGCAAATGCCAAGTTACAAGTCATATTTGTGTAGAGAAACTCACAGTAAGAAAGCATGTTGAAACATTCCAGGCAAAGCAAGACCCACCAACAGAAGAGTTACACAGAGCCCCTTTAAATGCAGTTGGCCACTTTTTTGAATGTTTGTTACTAAGCCTTTTAACAAAAAACACCACAGTAACAAGCAACTGTATTCACTTGTTGACAGAAATACATATTGATTGCTTCTACTTGAGTATTATTCTTCAGAAATAGCATGTATAGTTTTTTTGATGTATCCTCCTTTGCTTGTGAGCTGTCAGTGGCAGTGTTCCTTTGGTTTGTCCCAATCTGATCTCAGTTTACAGTCTGCAGAGTAGCACGAGCTTTAGTATTCAGCAGGTGTCCTCTACAGTCAGGCAGGATCGTGGGTAAGCACAAAATCAAACGCAATCGATGTCTTTTATCATAAGCCCAAACACTTTTAACGCTGCCCGCTCAACTGAACAGGAAGCGAGAACAATCAGAGAACTCGGGCACAAAAATACTTGTAAAAGGTGCAGCATTGAAACACAACTGCTCTGACTATATTTGACTGCTGTAGAATTTTAAGCTTAAGAGGGACTGTGAGATGAAAAGACTCGACAGGTAAAAACAAATGTCACTTTAAAGTAATCTCGTGGTAGAGTGTTGAATCGGAAAATCAATTTCATATTTCTCACCAAAAGTCTGAGAAAAGCACACACTAATTTATGATTGGAAAATGCAAACAGAATATACGATAAAGTCTAACAACTGAAGCTTTACAGAGTGGACAAAAATAGCAATGCTGGTACAAGTTGAGTTAAACCAGTTTTATGTAAAGATATTAACGCATGGTATGAAATAAATATTAACATAAATAAACTGTACATTGATGCCATGCTGATTAACAGTTTCAACCAAAATATTACATCTTTTGAAATGTGCTTAAAATGTTGCTTATAACAGGAAGTTGAAACTCATGAATTGTTACTGCAACCTCTACCAAAGCTATTACAGCTGTAGTATTTGTGTGTAAGTTGGCTCTTTGGCAGATCAGACAAACACCATCAACATAGTGAATTTGAAAAATATTTGATCTAATAAAAATGATAATATATCATGACAAATCAATTCTAAAACAAACATGAACACAAGGCTAGTCTTTCTGTTAAATATTCCACTATAAATTCACTATTCAGTATAAATCAGAGAGGGTGATTCTTGGTTACTGCACTGCAAGCTCCATCTGCTGGAACTGTTTGAGAGATGAATTTAGGAGACAATATTCCCTAGTAGTACATAAAGTCTTTCACACTCACATTTTAGCTCCACTTGATCAACATCCCTGTATATTATCTGCACTTTATTATGTTCAACTACCAATAATCTCACCTTTAGTACAGAAGGGCCCATCGTAGGCCGTCTTGGAGCAGTCGCACAGGTACCCGTTGTACTTCTCCACACACTTCCCTCCGTTGCGGCAGTACATCCCATAACTGGTGCAGTGTCCTTGGCAACCCGGTTTGACCCCCGGCGTGACCTTTGCCCTGTCCTCCAGGTCCAGCGTTATCCCGTTCATTCTAAGCCCCCGTATGCAACCCAGGAAGCCCCTCTGGCCCCCTGCGGCACCTGAAAGAAGATAAAGCAGAATATCAGCGCATCGGAAAGTCATATGGGCTATAAGATAAAGTCAGGGACAGCAAAGTCATTGTCACTTGTAATCTTTTTGGTTAATGCCTCGAGGAAGACACCACTGTAATAGCTCTAACTGCACCACTGTTCTTGAGTCAACCTTCAACTTGTTAAACTTTTTTTCCCCGCTAATTACACCTCCTAATGAAGTAGCGTATGGTATGTAGAGGAGCAAGCACGCGTGTAAATGACATATAAGGGGATAGATGCCGCACATGGCCTATACTTGATTGTAATGAGTCAATATGGGTATTACGCTGTAGCCTTGGGGTGTCGATTGGCGTTCCTCTAAAGTGCTTTCACCGTCATTCTGGCCCTGCACCATTACGGTCTAACTACCCATTAACGTGGACAGACTCAGGGCGTAAAATAGATTAATGTCCGCCGAAATGACTTCTGCAATAAACATACGCATAAACACACCCCCACAGGTATAGATTTTGATGCGAGGACATTGAGCGGAGCTGCAAATACAGTTATTCCCATGGACAATCTGATTAAACATCTTAGTTACTCAAACCTTTTAATTGCATTCTTCAGAGTCCATTTACGTTCATTTGTCAGCAATATGTGACGTTAATAGCTTTCGTTAAAGAGCTCCACAGTCACAGCCTTTGTTGTTAGCTTAGCATTAAAGGCGTGACCTTAATATAGCAGATAATATGCACTTCACTCCTGCCAATAATTTAATTGTGTATATGGAGACCCAGCTGAGGTTTCTTGTGCTTGCTCCCACTTCTCAGCCCCATAAAGATTTTCGGAGAGTGGCTAATTAATCTATTTTGTCGTGCTGATTGGATGGAGGTTTGTGCCACCTGTTTACTTAGGTCTAAATCAGAGTTAGATTACACAGACAGCCGGCCTGGAGCTCTGTGGAGACGGAGATGGACACCTGCACATAAACATGCTCAGTCTATAAGTATAGGGGAATTTTACATTACATGACATTTATAATTACAGTAGAAATACAGTGTAAACAACAATATAAATCCGTATGTCTTAAGTCTGCAAGAGGACCGTCGACTGAAACTTGGAGGTCCAGGAGAAGAAAGCTCACATGGGGCCCACCTCTAATATAAATTAAAAGGCAGAGGTTCAAATTCTGGGCCCCTAAGACCCTGGGGCCTGGGACAACCATATCTTTGTCCCACCTAACTGCTCCCCTAGTCTAAACTGACAACATTTTTGACCACGAATTGTTATTGTTTGGCCTGAAATGTTTCACAGTATTACAGGAAACTCATCTATCTGAATGGAGACAGGCATTTGTGTTTTCACCGATTTCCTTTTTAAAATAAAATGACCCGTAACTGCATAAATGCAAGATAGAGAAAGTTTAATGCCATACGGTGTAGGTCTGCTTGATTATGGAAAAAATCATTATCACAATTATTTTGGTCAATATAGAAATAGTGACACGATGGATTTATTTAAACAAAATTATTAAAACAAAGCAAAACACTTTGTTACTGATAATTTACGCACAACTTTCAAATAGAAAATGAATATAGGCTACAAAAATGCACCTTAGAGCAGTTTTACGATGTATAAAACAAAATGAATAAAATATGCTTGAACATGAAATAAGGCAGAGAAAAACATAAATGTATCAAGGATAAATTATATCCAACTGTTCTACAATCTCTACATTTAAAAATAAAATAAATGTACTTGCAAGAAATCTGCTCTGTACTGTAAGCCCATGTACAACACTTCCTATTGTTTTGTTAAAGCTATAATGCCACATTAAAAGCCAGACCAACAGCTATTTAAAAGTGTGAAACGTATGGCGAACCAAGGGTAAGTTACCCTGAAATTAAGTGCTAATGAGCCACATTTAGCATTCATTACATTACACATTCACACATTAGTGCATTTATACACACAGGACATCTGCACTCACCAATTAAACCGTCCAGTTAAGTGCTGAGCTTTCAAAAAGTTAATGACACTAAATTTGACCCTGAGACCTTTGACGTGTGGATGGTGCTAATGAAAAGAATGAATATGCATAAAAAATACATAGTTTGCATTCAAATCAGGGAAAAGTGGTTCTGAATTTGAGATATTCCCCACAATTCAACCAAATTAAACCAAACCAAAACCTTGAGCAGCCAGATTGCAGTAGAACAGTATGTATTTGACAGTATCGATTTTAACTGTAAATAAAACGTATAAAATCAAGTTGAAATAGCAACATAGCATACTCAGTAACAGAAAAACCTTATTGGAGTTAACTGTAGCGTAACAACTCTAACATTTAAAATAGCTGTCTCATGAAAAGTAATATGTCGACACACTCCACATGCTGTTTATGTCTCCATCTCTTTCATTGTACTCATTAAATGTTACCTACTGTCTTGGCAGGTGATGGCGGCTGGTTTCCCTGTTGAGCACGACAAAACATGCAGAGGTGTTGATCCACAAAGACAAAAGCATGCAGAAATAAATAAACACAAGATTATGCAGCGGTGAGTAAACAAAAGTGAAGACATGCAAAACGATAAAACATCACAGGCTGCAAAATAAGGTCAGTTAACACTTTGAAACAGAGTATTATACTGTATCTTTTGAATGGAAATTAATCAAAGTCATATACTATAGGAAGCAATTGACAGTTTAAAGGTGCTATATTACCTGAAATTGACTCTTGTGAGCTTTAAGCCATGTTATGATGCAGTTGCCTTGTCAAAAATATACCTGGAGTTGTGTTTTATTTAATTCACAGAAGTCTGAGTAATCCTGAATTATTAGTCTAGCTGCATCTCCAAAGCTCAAAATGTTCTGTTCCTTGTGATGTCATGAAGTGGCAGTTTTCAAGTTAGAAGGAACTTTTTACAGTGACAGTGTGACAGTGTTTTAAAACACAGTGGAGCACGTATTATCACATGACATTAGAAGATGGAACAGAGTGTTTTTTGTTTTTTTTCTCAGTTTGAAAAACCATCCCAGCATATATATGTGTGAATAAACAGAACACAACACTAGGTTTTTGATAAGGAAACAACATTATATATAGATCAGAAAATAGCGTAATATGGGACCTTAAAAATGCAGAATGTTCAAAATTGTGTTTAAACCAGGCCAAATATTGGTTGGTTGGTTGGTATTAGCCAACTTTCTCTTGAGTTTTCATTTTATGATATTCTGAGGCTAATGCCAAATCCCCATTAAAATCACATTTTGTTCCACTTAACTTTTCCCTCTAATCTCCACCATTCTCCAAATTACAATGTATTTGTTTACAAACTTTTAAAAGGTTATTACAAAGCGATGGTGCGGATTACAAGCATTATGGTATGGAAGACTCATGTATGAAGCAGACTTAACAACATGAGGACTGATGGTATAACATTTACTCGGAAGGCGATTAGAGTAAACGAGGCACTGTGCAGTAAACACAAAAGCAATCACCAGCTTGATAAAGGCCATATTGATTGAGGCACAGACAAGTGGATGATACAGAGAGTCTTATGACAACAAGGTAAGCCAAAATACCGCTCCCCGTTCACACCCCTGTAGAGTATGTTATGTGAAATCTACAAGCGGTGTTGTTCAAAGAGGTAATTTCGAGGGCTAGTTTATTTTCCCCTGCGTCTCTTCTCTGTCAGGTATTACAAACAAAGATGAATTCAAAGTTGTATTCCTTGTTATGTTTCTGGGCCACTGTTTCTTGTTCTCGTAGCATTGCCTTCAAACAACTGCATCAATATCAATCAGGAGGAAGTTGGAACAGAGGCACAAGATGGTGGATTATAAGAAAAATACATACAAAAAGATGTTTAGTTTGTGTACAAGGCTGATTTTACATCCAGCCCTTAAAGGTACATTGTGTAACTTTTCTGGTGGAGGGTCCATCAAATGCTTTTCTTCATGCAGATGTTAGTGCTTTGTCACAGAATGATATAAAACCTTCAATGTCATACATCCCCATAGAAACAAGCAGGTGACGAACTCTTCACTAGAAAAGTTAAACAATGCACCTGGTGTCATTTGTTTTTGTGGAAAACTGTTGAAAATGTAACTCCTTTTGTAAAAATATAATAGAACTAAAGTATTCAGTGCTGATTTTTCTTTCTTCACTTTATTTTTTAGTATACCCCCAGAAGGTCTAAAGTAAATGTGATACATATCTGTGTAGGATTAGTCTTGTTACAGAGAAAAAGGCAATTACAAAATGCTGGCCGAAAATGATGCAGGTTGTTAGGCAAATCAGAACAACGGAAATGATGACTTTCAACCAATCAATTTACAATGGCACAAGGGAGAAAAATACTGGAAAAGATGGGACTGTTTTACACAATCCATGGACAGAGATAATTATGACTGTTTGGTGTGGAACTTTCTTAAAAATAAAGTTACAGAAAACTCCTGTAACTCCTCCAGTAACTCAGCAAACCTAACTCTAAAATCTTCTTCTGAAAATAGTGGCAAGTAATGATATTAAAGGTGCACTGTGTAACATTTCTGGATAAGAGTCTGCCATCTACTTGTCTCCTTGGAGAAGTTGTTGCTTTGTTTGGAATGTCCCGGCGTGGCATTAAAATCTATCCATCTTGCATTTACTCAGTAACATGGGTCTTTATTGGCTTGACTTAAAAACTCTCTACAGATCTGACATGTAACTTGGCACTGTGGTGTCACCTGCTGTCTCCGTAGAGATAAATAAGTGTAATTCCATACTGTGGAACATTCCAGATTGTATCTCCATGTAGAGAAGCAACTGCAGGACCCTCTATCAGAAAAATTACACCGTGCACCTTTAAATGTCTCTACTTTATTAGATAAGCATAAAATATTAACTACAGCCACATTGGGCCAGTAAAGGGTCAAAACAACAACATGATGCCTAGGTTTTTCATCTGTCTTCAACAAAATAGATTACAATGTTTGTTTGTGCATACCATTTTATTTTATTTGTTTTTCTTGATCATATCTTATATTTACTGTTATTATTCATTGTTAGTTTTATGTTGCACCGTAACACCAAAGCAAGTGAATTCTGTTTCAGAGAGTGGCAATAAAAGTTATTCTGATTTAGCATAACTATAGTTAGAAATTACAAATAACAAAATTGAGATGCCAGAATAACAATCAAACACAAAATATAATACTAGTACTATAGGCATCATGATAGAAATTTACTATATCTATTTTGCACTATTTTCTCCTTACTGCCTCTTGTACATAGCTGATAAATATTTGTAATCTATTCTATAATCTATTCTACTATATTTTTTTTATTTTTACTTGTAGATATACATTTATATAATTATGGCTCATTTGAAACCAGTCTCTTGTTTTCTTATTTTTGCTGCTTATTTAATATGACCATTTATATTTTTGCTCTTTGTCATTATGATTATAGTGATGTTTGAGCTATTGTGTCCAAATAATTTCCCTTGTAGATGAATAAAGTTTGTCTAAGTCTAACTATCATGGTGCGACTAATGCTGTACTCTTTATTGTTAATATAAAATGCACCCGCCATTTTTCCAGTTGGTGAGCTATTGCGTGTCACATTGTAATTTATTTCCAAATACTTTCTGGGCGTGGATTATTCAGGGATTATAGATCAGATATAAGTCGTCCTTGTCGCCACTTTGACACTAGCACTGTTGTTGGATTGAATAAGCGCACGCACACACAGTCGAGCTAAGTCTTCTACAGACTTCACTCCACACAAACTACACAAAATACACAAATGCAAATGAGCTGACAGCACTATCATACCCCCATTAAGTCCTCCGCATCATCCAGCAGCACTGACACTCGACTCAGCCCTCGCACTAAATAAAGCCGCAAAAATACATGCTGGGGTTGCAAGGTTCAAATTAGCAAAATTACAAAATCATGTTACAAAACACTAAACAGAAGCCTGATTGGACTTTGGAGCAATTTCCTGTAGTCTGAAACTTTCTCCTCTAATGCGATAAGAAGAAGTCTGTGATCCGCCTCAGCACTTTCATTTATATCCTAAATCCTAAAAGCAAAAAAATATTTCATCTTAAAAGTTTGGTTCGCCACAAAAGGCTAAACAAGAGAATATCTGTGATGTTGAAGTCATGTTAGGTAGCTCTTAACACAATGAAGCCCTCTGCAACTGAGATGTGTATTCTTAGGCACTGTAATTACACTTAGCCCTGGGTGACTTTGACTTATAATTTCTTTGTTACATACTTAACTTTTTAAATTACTTGTACATCTAAAAGTGTTTTTGAAGGATCAGTCCACAATAATGTTGGTTTCCCTGGTGACAGAAGCTATAAAAATAAAATAAAAAAAGGACTTTCCACGAATCTTGTATTTCCATTTGAGTACGATTATCCTCTTGAGTACAGTTTTTGCCTTCTATATTCTGCTTTATGTAGATCCCACCCACAAAAAGATAATCCTCTTTAGTCTTTTCTCCTCTCAGTGGTCATATTGTTCTGCCTGATTGAGCATTTTCAATACAATACAAAAAGACTGTCTGATTAGTAATATGATATGGCTTCATAAATGACACTTTAAAATCCTCTTTGCACAATTATAGACTTAATCTGTGGAAAATAATTGCAGAGTTTAAGGTATTAAACATTCAGAGAAAATGACCTTGCTAAGTGAATTACGTTAGTTCAAATCGCACACTCGTAGTCTGCATAGGTGCTCATTAAAACGCAGATCAAATACAGCTAAGCATGAGCCTGTGTCAGTGTAGGCGTCTGCCCTGGATTAACATTGAGTTAATAGGCAATCACTGTAGCTAGGCGTTAAAGATTATATTTAAAACAATCTTTATTATAGATGTCTGTATCTAACTGTAGGAATACTGAAAGTTTTCTAATTAGCCTCTCACCCTAATTGCGAGGACACAGACTTCAGAGCTCCTTAATTATACTCTGTTTGTCTCTCATTCAAAGCCAGTTATTATGTTCAAATTGCAATCAAATGTGTGTACAGAGTAATTCTACCTCATAATTGTTTGGTTAATTGAATGCAGCGTATTGTGAGAGATGGTCCTTAGTCTTACCCACGTAGAGTTGGCTGAACAGCTCCAGCCTGGTGTGCCCCTGCGTCGGGGCAGAGCGGGAAACCCGGTACGTCTGGTCCAGCTGAAGCACCGCTTCTTTCACGTTTCTCTCAGCGACCACGCGATGCCATTGGTCGTCGTTGAGGGGCGTGGCCGAGTGGACGTTCAGCTCGACGGGTCCGTTTCCGACGTCGAAAGAGAAGGAGACCACTTTAGGAGCTGTGGAAAGAAGATTACATTGTTAGAATATACACAAAATATCAAGTCTTTCAGTACAGCAGTAAATGTGTACTTGCATAAAATTTTCACTTTCTTCTTTCTTTTTGATCTTTAATATAACAAGTGGTTCATATTACCAGATCTTTGACATTTTTTGCCCTGACAACATGAACATGACACCCTCAGAATCTGAGATCAGTCAGGATGAGCGGTTCGAGAGCTATGCGTAGGAAAAGACACACAGACAGACGTTCCTTGAATTAATAAATAGATTATGGTATTATGAATTGTGTGTTTGTTTTCTTTTTCACATCGGAATGAACATTTAATTATTATTGACTTCTGAAGGTAATGTCAATAAAGGGCCCATTCTGCTATTTGCTATGCTACCTACGTTATGTTGTTTTCCTCACATACCCTGAGTTCTGTGTCATTTCATTCACACGTTTAACACATAAATCCTGCATATTTAGGCTTCTCTCAAGTGGAAAACTGTTTTCCACCTTGTTATGTCTTGTGGTAATACAGGAAGTGCTTCACTGTGTTTTTGAACTCTGTGTAATTTTGATGATTTCAGCCCTGGGAACTGCCAATCTTGACTGAACACCTGTTAACTTGAAAACTACCATTACATGACATCACAAGGTGGAACAGAGCATTTTGGGCTTTGGAGACTAGACCAGTGTTTCCCAAACTTTTTTTCTGGGGACCCATATTTTCAGTCAATAGACATTACTCATAAATCACAAAATAAAGGTGGATTTCACCATTATTGAACATTAATGAGGATATTTTATTTTGTTGACTGAGTGATCGTGTCTCTCTGAACAATTAGTATTACTCAAGTTGAAAACAGTAATTGAACAAAATAGTCAATAAAATAATTACAAAAAGATTAGAAATTATACAAAACATGCCTTAACATTTCAACGTTTCTAATGAGATAGGAGCACCTGTCTGTGATTTTGTAGCTCGTTCCAGTCAGGGTGCAGGAGGAGAGCCCAACATGCATATCAGGTGCAGTATTCAGTCTGTTTCTGTGCTTTGTCTTCATTTTTGTGAACACAGAAAATCCCAATTCACACATATATGTAGTTGTGAAAGAAATAAGCATAGAAATACTGGCCCTACTGAGGACAGGGTATTCACTTGCTCTGTCATGTGTCAGAGCTGTATATTGCAGACCTACATGCAGATCGTGACAAGGTGACCCCAAAAAAAATCTCTTGCGACCCACCTGAGGATCGCGACCCAGTCTTTGAGAAACAATGGAATAGACTAATAATAAAAAGTTACTCAAACATGTGTGAATGAAACAAAACACAACTCCAGGTGTGTTCTTGAAAAGATAACAGCATTATGACAGGACATAAAGCTCTCAAGAATCAATTTTGTGTAATAAAGGACCATTAATGGGCTTGTATTTCTATTCCTTCTTTTTGGGATAAGCCAAACCAAGACATGTACAATAGGTAAAAATCCTCCAGTTAAAATAATTCTAACCAAGCCAAATTCAAGGTCTGGAGATGGGACCCTCGGTGCTGCTCCTGACAGGTTACCATAGCAGCAATAAAGGCTGGGTCAAATGCAGAGGGCACAGTTCTCAATGAGGACAATCAAGTATACTTTAACCTTAGGTGTATTGTAACAGAAAGTACAAAACTGTTTTCTTTCTCCGTGGAGCCTTTGGAGCCAGACAAGCCATGTCTATACAAGTGTAACCCTGCGAGCCTTATGTAGCTGCTGATTTCACTCTACCGAAACTTTATATTTATTTCTTGTTATGTGTGTCCGAAAACAAGAAAAGTTCTCAAAAGCCATAACTCTTTGCTCCCTCATTGCCCACACTGCAGGTAAAATGCGTTCAATTTCTAATCTAATGGCTCATTTGTTTCAAGACTGCCTGTTAGAATAGTAAAGATTTCAGCTCTGAAATACATGACTACTCAAAGCTCTGGACGCCACTAATCTTAAAAACCTGGTCAATAGATGCCAGAAATGGTTGGCTTTGCTATGCTATGTGCTCGCTTAAGAGTTGCGAGGTCAATTGCCTGCTCTAACAATCTGTATGTCTCTCCACACGCTCCATCCCCATTTCACAAACCATGCACTGCAAAATCTAAAATCTTGCAAAGTTAAAATTACTTGGGTTAAGAAAATGTGAATTTGATTTCACATTAAGTAAAATTATCTACTGTATGGAAATTTTCGTACACTGAATAGAAAAATCTTGTTACACAAACCAATGAAAAATAACCACTTTTTGCACTTAAACTTAAAAAAATAAATTAAAAAACATATTCCCCTGGTAAATAATTTTGTTTGTCAAGTCAAATTCTTTTCAGTGAGTCAAAAAAGAACTTTGCTGAATATTCCGAAATAATTTTAATGATGCAATATAATAATAAAGAAACAAGAAAAACTTTTTAGAAAACATTTTAATTCATCTGTTAATTGCAACCTTCACAACAAATATATTAACTGTATGGATTTGATCTCTCTGCTCTCTGTGTTATTTTTAAGTAGCCTATGAATGCAGTCGATACAAAAGTTGCCATGTTTGTTTAATTACCAACATGATTGTGCTGTATAATTAACAGTGGTGGAAGAAGTACTCAATTGTGTTACTTAAGTAAAAGTACAGCTACTGGAGCAAAGAAAACTCAAGTAAAAGTAACTCATGAAGCATTAAAGAGTAAAAAGTAAAAGTATTTCATGCGGATTTTGAGATTTAATAAAGCTTCAAACTGACTGATTTTGATACAGATTTGTGCTGAATTTTGTTAATCAGAAATATCGATTGCTTTTTTTTTTTTTACTGTTTGTTCAACTTTCAGTAGGTCTCACACAACAATAAAAAAAATTTTACAGTAACTGTTTCTCAAATGTAGAAGTAGTTAGAATACTATCCCCTGTAAAATATAAAGTGAAGTACAAATACCTACATACAGAAAAATCCCGCACACCGTCTTACTTGCAAACTGTGAAATTTATTAGGACAAACCGTGCAACGTTTCGGCACTAGGCCTTCGTCAGTCAAAGAAAGTCAACATATAGTGTAATAATAATACAAATAATAATATTATTATTGTATTATTATTACACTATATGTTGACTTTCTTTGTTTTTTGAATTATGGGGTTTTGTGTACACTGTTTCTTTATGACCTGTCACCCTTGGGTGCTTGCCACACCCTATTTAAGATGGCCACCTGAGCTCTCATTCTGTTTGCCTGACGAAGGCCTAGTGCCGAAACGTTGCACGGTTTGTCCTAATAAATTTCACAGTTTGCAAGTAAGACGGTGTGCGGGATTTTTCTGTATGTTCTGGGGCTGCTCCCTCTCCTCCAACGCACCCGTCTCTAGTAGTTGATGTGCGAGGCTCTCATTCTCTCAAGTACAAATACCTAAAATTTATACTTAAGTACAGTACTTTACTACTTAGCTACCTTCCACCACTGGTGGTTAAGTTTAAATATGAACATTTGGTTTTATTATAATGAAATATTTAGCCATTAACACCCTCATGTGATAAATAGATAGTACGATGATGATTTTACAAGGTCAGTCTGACTTGTATATCATGGCTTGTTTTTTTATTGGAGAAATGCTCTTTGAATGATCGCCAGCTAAATGTCAAGGAAATGTTCGGGCTATAAACTGTGAGCGCAGCGTCACCAGGAAACAATGAGGACATTTATTATTAGCAGCAGCAGAGGTCATTTACAACTGTCTCATTTAAATCCTTCTGACACTTTGTTTAATGTGGAGTCATATCAGATTTACATATATGCTGCAGTGACTAGTGATTCCAGCATTTGGGACCATAAGCATGATTTATTACAGTTTAAAAGTGCACTGTGTAACTTTTCTAGCAACCAGCTTCTGTCTCCATGGAAATATTATAGACTTACCTGGAATTTAACACAGTATTACTTTAAACATATCTATAGCATTTATTTAATTGCAGGAGTTTCTATTGCTCAAGCACACCTTTAAAAGTATATATTCTTACTGTAAGGGGGCTCGCCTCTGCACAGATCTGTCCTGCAGCTTAGCTCAGTGGCTCCATCTGCTTGTCTCCATGGACATGTATGCTTTTAATGCCATACTGTGGAAGATTCTAGACAAAACCAAGTATTTGATTTGTGAGGATTTATGTAACAACAAAATGCTCTTTCCCTAAAACATACTTAAATATTTATTATGTTATTTTGTTTCTAGTCCTTTTTTCTTAAGCTATGACCACCAAGCTAACAAAGCAATCCAGCCACAAGTGAGTGCATAGTGTGCGAAAAACAAGATCAAAAAAGGAAAAAAAACCAAAAAAACAAGTTCAAAAGTAAACCAATTTCCATAATACAACATTTTCTACACCGTCCACAAAAGAGTAAACCTGAGAGAAACAAGCAATCGGAAGTGTGCAAAGCCAGCTTCAAAGCAAGATGTGGCCTTTTGGTTTTTATTTTGTCCGCGGGCATCGCGAATGGAAACTAAAGTGCCCTCGGAGCATGCGGCGCACCTCAGCCATTTGCATAGGCATGATGGATGTCATAAGTGTAAATGTGAGCGCTAATGTGAGCGCGGGAATGAGAAGAGGAGATGAGAGTGATGAGAGGAGAGGGAGAGAAAGAGGAAAGGATGAAGGGAATGAGAAGAGAAATGATGAGAGACAGAGAGGGGAGGGTAATGCGAGAGGGAGGGGAGAGGGTGATGAGAGTGAGAGGAGGGGTGAGAGTGAGAAAGAAGAACGGGAAGAAAGAAAGAACAGGAGAAAGAGAAAGAGAAGAGAGACAGAAGGAGGGGAAGGGAGAAAGAGAGGGCGGAGAGTGGAGAAGGAGAAGAGGAAAGAAAGGGCAGAGGAGAGGGGAGAAGAAGAGGGATGAGAAAGAGGAGAGAGAAGGAGAGGAGAGAGAGAAAGAGAGGTGGGAGGGACAGAGAGAAGGGAGGGGGAGAGAAGAAGGGAGATAGAGAAAGAGGAGAATGGGGAGAAAGAAAGAA